ATGGACATCAGATTTGTAATCAGCAACCACGAAAACCCCTGAGTAACAAATTTCAATTAGATGAATCGATGAATCGAAAAAATCTGATGTCGCTATTTTAAAATTCAAAATGGCGGATCCAATATGGCGGACGGCTTTTTTAAAAATTAATCCAAATTACCTGAAATTTGTTACTCGGGGGTTTTTGGGGTCGCTGATTACGAATCTGATGTCGGTTTTTCAAAATTCAAAATGTCGGATCCAATATGGCGGACAGATTTTTAAAAATAGATCAAAATTACCTGATATTTGTTACTCGGGGAGTTTTAGGGTCCCTGACTACGAATATGATGATGGTTCTTAAAAATTCAACATAGCGGATCCAATATGGCGGACATTTTTTTTAAATTTTGGATTCGCTTGAAAATTATCATTAGGGAGTTTTCGGGGTCGCTGATGATGAATCCGATGTCAGTTTTTAAAAATTAAAAATTGCGGATCCAATATGGTGGACATTTCTATGTCATTTTTTCAAAATTCAAAATGGAGGATCCATTATATCGGATATTTTTTTTTAATTTTTGGATTTTCTTGAAAATTATCACTCGGGGGTTTTCGGGGTCGCTTATGACGAATCGGATGTCTGTTTTTAAAAATTCAAAATGTCGGATCCAATATGGCGGACATTTTTAAAAAAAATTGTTTTTATCATAAAAGCAGAACAAATTTTACAAATGCCGGTTTCATAGAACAGCTATAAAGAGCGTTCAAAAATTGAAATTCCACTGAAATGTCCTAACGCATTTCACCTTTCCAATAAGTTCATGGGTGAAGTGGATCTCCACGGTATGCCATATTAAATCCGCAATTTTTTATTTTGAAAAACTGTCATCGGATTCGTCATCAGCGACCCCGAAAACCCCCGAATGATAATTTTCAAGCGAATCCAAAAGTTTTTAAAAAAATGTCTGCCTTATTGGATCCGCCATTTTGGATTCTGAAAAATCATCATTTTCGTAATAAGCGACCCCGACAACCCCCGAGTAACAAATTTCATGTAAATTGGATCAATTTTTAAAAAGTCATCCGCCATATTGGATCCGCCATTTTGGATTCTGAAAAATCATCATTTTCGTAATAAGCGACCCCGACAACCCCCGAGTAACAAATTTCATGTAAATTGGATTAATTTTTAAAAAGGTCATCCGCTATAGTGGATCCGCCATTTTGAATTTTGAAAAACCATCATCATATTCGTAATCAGAGACCCCGACAACCCCCGAGTAACAAATTTCAGGTAATTTGGATCAATTTTTAAAAAAGTCGTCCGCCATATTGGATCCGACATTTTGAATTTTGAAAAACTGACATTATATTCGTAATCAGCGACCCCGAAAACCCCCGAGTAATAGATTTCAGGCGATTTTAGAGATTTTTAAAATAACAATGCATTGTATTGTCCATGGCAAAGATTTTGAAAAATTTGCTAAAAGTGTTGTTTTTAAAAATTTATAACATTTTTATAATTCATTGAATTTAAAAACAGAAACGTGCGTCGCATTCTGCATAGCGTTGACTTTTTAGAAATCATTTTGTTTTTAATTTTCAGCCATTTTTGACTTTTTTACATCAATTTTTATCATGGAAAAGATTGTCAGTTTTCCGGCAGTCAGAGCAAAGTCCGAAATGGCAAAGATCTTTGCCATCGGCAGTCAAGGGGTTAAAGGGTTAACTTGCATTTTTGAAAACAAATGAATTGCTTTAACATTGTTGACGTGAACGTTAACAATTTGAAAATTTGTGAAAATAAATATTTCAAAAAAAAATTCTCCTGATTGCCAGAATTTTCAGTCCGCTTGAAATTCAAAGGAAATGTTTATAATTATTTTAAGAACTTGTAGTAAAAATTTGGATAGAAAAAAAGGTGATGTTTTTGAGAAAAATGATCTTATTTATTTTCAGAAAATCATCCGTAGTTTTTCGTGACAATGAAGTGGAAGTGGTCGACCGGAGTGGAATTGTTTTAATTACCGCAAAAGTGGTTTATATTTGTTACGTCGTAACAATTTTATTTTGAATTTAAGATTTTCTTTGAAAGTGCTTAAAGAAAGTATATAACAGTAAAACCTATAATATTGAAAAAACAGATGTTCATTTATGAAGATTTTTACTTTTTAAAAGCAATTTGTAAATACTCCACTCGAATTTTTACAACTTTATCTTAAAATAACTTCACTACTCACGTACACACAACAATAGTAAAAAGGATAAAAGCCATTAAACTCTCTAAATGAGTTTATTACTGATTGCCCAAACTACGGTCCCATTCATTTAAATCACCTGGGACAAGCTCAATGTAAAAATGGCAAATTTCGGATTTTCCAGAAATCTTTGACGTCAAGTGAAGGAGTGTCTATGAACCTCCTCTTTTCTTAATTTTAACAAATAATTGCACTTTTTAACCCCCACTATTTTACATAGCACCTCTTGAAGTTGTGTGACGAGAGAAACAGGGATGAAATGAAACATTAGAATAAACTCAGACAATCGCGTGTAAAGATCATAACGCGCTTTTTAAATCAATACATCTCACAAAATCATATCACTCACGTATAAGTCTAAATTCAAATTGCTCTTTCTCTGTTTGTAAAATTATGTTTATGTGTAAGGTGTTCATCTTTTTAAAATATATGTATTAAATGTATATTAGTGCATATTTATTCATTTATAATACCTGCATGAACCAATCAACAAACAATATTATTTACACAGTTTAGAAGAATCCTCAGAATTAGAATCCTAATTAATCCTAATTCTAAAGAGTCTCCACGGTTTATATAGGCAAAATTCCCCTGTCTCTGGATTTTTGATTTAATCTTATAAAAAGGTTCTTTGAGATGTGTTATTGAATTAATTAAAACTCAGGTTCGTCAGGATACAACTCGTGCTTTCAAAGCCCAAATAAATGTTAGAAAAACAATTAAAGGTAAAATAATTAGTTTATTTGATTTAACAACCGATTCTCTCATTAAAAGTTACAACTGATTCGAAATCTCGCTACACACACCAAACGCGATCACTCGCCACGACAACCCTTTTGCCCGTGCTAACGCACCTCTCCTTCACAAGACTCGTGAAAAACTGATGAACACGTTTTTGGTAAAAAGACGCTTTAATATGAGAACTTCCGTTTTCGATTTTCAGATTTCTCCTACCATTTTTTCCATGAAATTTATAGAGTCAAAGTGTTCTTTAGTAAAAATTACTCAAAAGTCTCTGTTTTTCACGCTTTTTTTATTCATATGTTTGCAAAAAAAAAATTTAGTCATATGTTATTAATGGAAATTATATGAACAATAAAATTATCAGTTTCGTGCAGTTTGTCTTGTTTTATAGAGATTTTTTTCTACTGAGTAATATCAATCTTTCTCCAGGGTCAAACATTTTTGAAACACACAGTAGTCATTCACTTTTATTAAGAAACGAGAAAAAAAGTGCTAAGGAGAATTAGAAGATATTCCCAAAGGTAAGGTTTTATTCAATTCAATGATAGCGCGCGGAATGTGGTATTCAATTTATTATTATTCATATTAAAAAATTTTCTATTTTCAAAAATTAATTTTTAAATAATTTCATAATCAAACATTTTTAAAATTTACTTATCAAGTATATAATTAATTAATATTGTTTATATTTTCAAAAATTTTAATACAATTTTTCGCAATAATTCAATTATTTTCATAAATAATAAAATTGTGCAACGGAATTAAATTATTCTCAAATTTTTTGACAAAATTCTTTGCAAGAATTTAATGATTTTCAATACAATAATTTTTTTGAAAATATTTGAAAAGAAAAATTATTTAAAAAGTTAGGAAACAAAAAAGCAAAAAACAACTAACTTCAAACTGCGAACAGATTACCGTAACACAAAGATTATTAATTATGGATTATTATATAATAGTAGATTGTGCATCAAGGGAGTGGAAATCAATTTTCCTCCCGAGTTGCACATACTATTTTTTCTAACATACGTATACCGAAAGTACAAACGCGGCAGTTTGGTTGTTACTTTTCAATGTATAGTTGTAGCTGGGGCGGTATAGTTACAACTGGTGGTAACTGAAAGTTTGTGAAAAGCTTGAAATAACTAAACTAACAAAAGCAGCGTAAGTTACGCAACTTATGTAAGTTACGTAAATTATGTATTATTTTTAACCTAGAGGACTAACATAACTACATCATTTACGTAAGTTACGTAACTCCCGTAATTTACATAATTACACAATTTACGTAACTCACGTAAGTTACTTAGATAACGTAACTCACGTAACTGATTCACCAATGGTCATACTTTGATTTATACTTCGTTCCTAATATTAACATTATCGAGAAAGTAAGTTACTTTTCCTCCCTCATAGGGAGGGAATGTTACATTCCCTCCCGCTCGCAGGGAATCATACACTTTTCTCCCGCTTGACACGTAGGAAATGGTGTACTTTCGGTGCGTGTGTTAGAAAAAATTTTTTATAAAAATTTTTTATTACGAATTTTAATTTGCACCAATATTTGTAAGAAATTAATAAGAAAACATTATTAAAAACGTTAAAAAAAGTATAACAAACATTGCATTGTAGATTCTTCAAATATTATCTTATGTATTAGTATGATTCATGGAGGTATGATTTAATTTCAAAATTAAATTATTTTTTTGTAATTTCAGGTTATACATATACCAAAATGACAAACACAAGTTTGAATCTTGATATATTGCTAGCCATTCTTGTTATCATTCAAATGTCATGCTTACTAAAATTGTCAAAAGCTGAAAAAAATCAAGAAGATGGGGTGTACGACCTATAAATCGACGTAGAGATGTTCTTGGCGAATATGAAACTCTTTTCCAAGAAATGCAAGAGGACGAAGATTATTTCTTTAAATACACAAGAATGAGCAAAGAGAGCTACCAATATTTATTAACAAAAGTAACGCCATATCTTCTTAAAAGAAGTCGAAGAAAACCGCTTACTCCTGGACATCGACTTAGCATGACACTCAAGTAAATTATCCAATTTTATATTTTCATTATTAGAGCAATAATAATTATTATTTTTTAAAGTTGAATTATTTTCCATATCTTCAATTACACATTTTCAAAAATTTAAATATTTATAAAAATTATTTTTGATTTTTTAAAGAATCGAATGTATAGTTCAAGATTCTATAAGTAATTAAATTTCAGAATGTAATTATTATTATTAAATTGTTGAGTAATTTAGTTAATAAATTATAATGAATGGTTATAGGGATATATAAAATGTGGTTTTTGTGACTGCGCTAAAAAAATAAAGAAATTTTTCAACTTTTTAAAAATATTTTAGTGTAAATATTTAAAAATAAAAAAATTCATATTTTAATGAAAGCTTTCTTGAGGCAGACATTTTAATACACTGGTAGAAGATAATTGAAAGATAACTTGAAAATTTTTTTAGAAAGTCCACTTTAAACTTGATATACGATTTGAATAGCACGTTTAATTTAGAAATATGAAAAATAAAAGATTTCAAAGCTTAAATAAATTGTATTTTTGATAATCTAAAAAAAATTTTCTTAAAATTTTTTTGTTGAAATTTCTAATTTTTTTAAGGAACATTTGAAGTTTAAATATTCAAAAAATTCTAAAAAGTGTGTTACAGTGTGTAATAATAATTTTAAAAAATGTGTTTTCTGAAATTATGGACTGTTTTATTGTCAATAAATCATCCTAGTTTTGTTATTAATTTTAAATCTTTTTATCAATTTAAAAAGTGATTGTGAAGTGGTGATAACATATATCCAAAAATTCTTTAAACCACATAGATTGTAAAGAAGACGACTTTAAGACATTCCATGTGCATTCTATGCCCACTTGGTTCTCTTTGAAAAATAATCTACGCTTCGTCAAGTAATTCAGGAGACAACCGTAGCAATTATTAAAGTTTTGGCTCCTGATTACTTGAAAGTACCTACTCGTGAAGACTGGATTAGAATATCTGAAGGATTTAAGGATGTTTGGAACTTGCCTAACTGCGGAGGAGCAATAGACGGCAAGCATATTACGATAAAAGCACCAGCAAACTCTGGTAGTTTGTTTTTCAACTACAAAAAAACCTTCAGCACTGTCTTAATGTCAATATGCGACCACGAATATAAATTCAACTTGGTTGATATTGGCTCATTTGGAGGTTGTAACGATGCTGGAATTTTTGAAGACAGTTTAATTTCAGAGGGATTGTTTAATGGTATTTTGAATCTACCCGACGAACAGTTTCAAATTCCAAATTTTAGTATTACAACCCCAATTTTTTTGGTGGGTGACGACATTTTTCCTATATCTACCAAGTTGTTAAAACCATATCCTGGTTCTTATTTAAGTGATGAACAAAAGGTTTTCAATTATCGCTTGTCACGTGCGAGAAGGATTGTTGAAAACGCTTTTGGTATTATGGCTTCAAGATGGAGAATTTTATACACTAAAATTTCTGCCGACCCTCAGAAAGTCGATAACATTGTCATGGCCATTATTTGCCTTCATAACTTTTTAATGTCTATAAACAATAAAGCAGACACAAATAGACAGCAATATTGTCCAGCATCTCATGTTGATCGAGAAACAGAAGGAGGACGTGTCTTATTAGGTAAATATTTTTAATATTTTCTATTTTGAAAGTTTTGATTTGATTATTTATGTTATACAATTTTAAATTCGCAGGAGATTGGCAATTTGATGGTAACGATCAACTAAAATCATTTCCACCAATCCAACCAGAACGTCGAGGTACTTTAATTGGTCAACAAATGCGTAACACTCTGGCTGCACACTTTTCAAGTCCGTCAGGAGAAGTACCGTGGCAATGGGATTATATTAGATGACAAAATCGAGACAATCATTAAAAATGGATTTACTTTTTTTACCAGACTCAATTTTTCGGGTATTTTAAAAATATATATTCTACTCTTTAAATGTTTTAATAAATATATTATTTATTTGAAAAACCTTTAAATCAGTTCAAACAAAATGTGATATTATTACTAGTTGTAATTATAATACTATGTTATATTTCATATAGTACAATATTTTTGTACATCGAATTCAACATTGAAATAATATACTATCTCTTTCGAAAATAGTATTTCTTTTTTATAATAGTTCCGCCCAGTGTATAAAAGTAGAAAATAAGATATAACTTCCAAATTTAGATCACAGAACAGTGATTGTTATAAAATTGTTAATTATTACGTTTGAAATGTGAAATTACGATATTTTTCTATAAAAAGAATAATAATAATTGTTAATTTTCTAATGCGTCATAATAGATCTGAATTTATTATTGGTTAACCAGTGCATCGATTTTTATAGTGAATTCAAAAAGTCTCATTTTTTATTTTTCGTATTTTATGGTTACTTTAATAACACCTAAATTCTAAATGTTTATATTCATATGGAAATAAGAAAGAGAATTAAATCGAAAAATCGCTTGTCTGTGTTATGTGATTTTACTTAAATATCTTAGTTGTTAATTAATTGTTATTAAAAAAGAAAACTATAAACGACTGTGATAAAGAAGTAGTCATGATTTCTTACTGAATTAAGAAGTCAGATCATTATATTGTTTTATCTTCGTAAACTAAGCAATTTACTGGACATAAAATGTGATTTTGTGGATAAGAAAATTAATTTTATTAATAAAAGTACCTAATGGTATGCAGAAATTGTTTCTATTTCTATTTTAAACTAAATTTCCATATACAGTACGCTATTCCAGGTCTCAGACTCATGTGTTCTTTTAAAATGAGGAAATCATCGAAAGTTTCCTAAAAGTTTATATTTTGCAACTTTCAGAATTTTTATTGTGTGAAGTTTATGAAACTTGAAGGAATTTTTCAAATGTTCACTGTTTTTCAATATTTAATGTAAAATTTTGACTAAACATTTAAAAACATTATACATTTAAAGAATTTTTTAAACTTTCATGAAATTCGCTACCGCTACTGAAGTTTACATAGGTTACAGTCCACATTATTTCAACTTTCAGAAAACTTTCGGTGCAGTGTGGAAATAAATTACTATGAGTGAACTTTTTCTTAGCTCAATATCTTACACAAAATTTTTTTTTTAATTTTTGGGTCAGTAGGTGGTATAAACTAACATATATCATAGTCAGTTTCCCAAAATTATCACTTACCTTAAAGAAATTTCAGTCTTACCAAAGAGTGCAATTTTATGATTTTTAAAAATGTTGGGGAATTGTGGGCCACTGCCTAAATTGAGTTCAAAATCAAAAATAACGATGAAATATATTTATTAAATGGTTAGAAATATTAAAAATGTTATAAATATTTAATTATAAGTTTAAAATTAAAAAACAAAAAGTAAAAAATGAAATTAATCGGAATCACAATTTAGCCAAATACAATAGGCTCAATTAATAACACATTTTAAATGAATAGCTCTATCGCTTGAATCGCAATGACTATTATTGTTTTTGTTAAATTACTATAACTATGAGTGATTTTAATAATATTTGCAATTAAATCGCCAAAAACATGCAATAAATACTTCCCTAAAGAAAGTGGCTCACAATTTTCCAAATGCTTCATTTTACAAAAAGCTTTGTATTATTTATTCATTTTAATTTAATGAAAAATTTCTTTTTGGAGTCAAAATACCAATGACACATAATAATTAAAAAAATATATTCCATAATTAATTCTTGAAAATCCTTGTAAAAAAAATAAAAACATGATGGCCCAAAATAAATACTTTAATAAAATTTTTCAGGTGATTTTTATTAACGGTTTATAGGTAATTGTAAAGCGTTGTAAAGTCATGAAATGCTAAAGAAAAATTTAATTTCTACGAACAAAAGAAAATCAAAAAATTGGATTATCAAACATGTAAATATTATTAAATAATGGAGGTGGCCCACAATTTCCCAATCTTCCTTTATATATTTTAGGATACTAGACAAATTAACTCCTCTTATTGAGAAATTTAATTTATCGAAAATTTAATTATTGAGAATACTGTATAAGGTAATATATAAGTATTTTATTTTGTAATTTCTAAATATGGTATTCTGACGTACATGTATAATAATAAAAAATGGGAGTTAATGGTTGTAAGTAAATTTTAGAACACTAATATTTAAACAATTTTTATCACAAACAACTTGAAACAACAACACAAGTTGTTTAAAATTTTACATATTTCAATGACATATTATTATTATTATTTACATATTTCAAGCGACAAGGCCGCTTCCCAGGTGCGATTTTTTGGTCGGCTCATAGTTGGGCCAACTTGTACATCTATCACTCGAGCAACGAAGATCTTATTGTATTTATCGATTGCAACTAGGCCCGATATATCTCACGCCGCCAGTAAATTATGTCAATTTAACCATTGCTTCAATGTAACTCATTGGGGTGCAGCCAAGAGAGTACTGAGATACCTTAGATGTACTGACGATCTCGGAATCCTCTTTAAACACTACAAGAAGGAGATGTTAGGTCTTGTGGATGTGGACTGGGCGGGATCCATCGACGACAGGCGATCATTCACCGGATTTGATTTCACACTGAGCGGCGGTGCTATTCTATGGGACTCGAGGAAGCAACGGACCATTGCGTTATCGACTACTGAAGCAGAGTACATGGCCTTGAGTGAGGGAGCCAAGGAAGCACTGCATCTAAGTCGATTTCTAAAGGAACTTAGACAGTCTGATTTGCAGTCAATTAAGCTGTGCATTGACAATTTCAGTGCACAAAAGTTAGCAACGTTTCCAGTTTTTGACAGCCGAACAAAGCATATCGATGTTTAGCATCATTTCGTGCGAGACGTTATCAAGCCAAAAGAGATTCAATTGGAGCATATGTCATCCGAGGATATGCTTGCCGATATCCTTACCAAGGCAATGACCAAACCAACGCACCAACGATGCGTTCTTTCCATAGGATTGGAAAAATCAGGACCTGGACCATTGGAGATTGTCTCAAGGGGAAGTGTTCAGAAACTGATCCAACCTCTAGCCCTCAGCGCTAGGTGGTGTACACACTCGTGTACATTCACTCATAAACGTAGCGTCTTTTGTTCACTCAAGTGTTCAGCATTCTTTATATTATTTGTCTGTTTCAATTTCATAACATTAAAGTTCTTTATATTAAATATCTATACTCGGTTTTCTTTCTCACTTCGCCTGGATTTCGTCAACAGTTTAAAATCCAATGTCTTCAATATGTGATCTATGTAAGGATTTTATAGAAATATAAATAAAAATTAAGTCATCTTTTATCAAATGTTTTCTATTTAAATAATAATATAATATAATATTTAATATATTATACTAGAACTAATTTTTGCGCGCCCATTACATCATTTTCAATTTGAAATACTATTATGAATGAAGTTGTCCATACCATCTATTACAACTTACTATTCTGATGATTAAATAGGGTATAAGTGTACCAATTGCCGAGGGTGTTCCATTTGTCGATGTTACCATGGTAATAACCAAAAAATATTGTCTAAAATGTCTCATTTGTTTATTTATATAATATTAATATATTTTTTTCACATTTATAACGCTTAGAAAAATTAATATTTATTACTTTTTTCATTTACAATGTGCTACACTGTTTAAATAAAATTCAAAGTTTGTTTACTCGACAACAGGAACCATCCTCGACAATTTTGGTACGTTTACCCTATTTTGAAATAACCGAATTCTCTTATCCTGTTTGTTATTCTATATTTTAATATTTAATAACGTAAGACTTGACAATTTCAAAAAGTGTGTTTTCTTAATACTAACTTTAATTATTATTTATGTATAATGTAACATTTAAACATGTTTATTTTAAAATTTTTATTTATAATAAAACTTAATTTTCACGAAATACATTTAGGATCACTATTAAAATATGTTTTGTAATTATTTTCGTTAAAAGTAATATCGACAAAAGAGTTGTTAATTTAACAGCTGTCAAAAAGAATTATTTTTTGTAAACTGCGTTTTTTAAACTAATGACACCATCAAAATGTAAAAAAACATTTTGTTTTGCCTTTACGGATGAGTCTTCCGAAGGAGAAAAATAAATTTTTTTACCAAAGTTATCGCTATTTCAATTTTTTGCAACTTTAAAAAAATATATCTCTTAAATAAATGAATCAATTTAAATAAACCAACCAGGAATACACTGCAAAAAGCAGTATCTTATTTAAGATGTTTTGGTAGTCATTTTTAAGTTATTTGAAATATCTTAATTTAAGATGTTTAAAGTATCTTTGTACACAATTTCATCATATTTTTTGTGAAAAAAGTTTTAAGGTTAACTATGGGCTTATATGTAAGGCATTTTATGCATCTTAGTTTAAATTTTTTTCGCATCTTACAATTCACAAGTATCTTATCGCTAAACATCTTATTGAGACAGAAACATCTTAATTTAAAATACTTTAAAAAACTTTCAGAAGTATCTTACTTTTTTAAGATAGAAAAAATATCTAAGACGTATAAAACATCTTAAAAATCAGTAAGATACTTTAGAAACCATCTTATTTTCAGATGTAAGATACCATTTTTCCATCTTACATCTTATTTTAAGATATCAAATAAGACACTTATTTTTGCAGTGTACAAAGAGGATAAAATATAATTTCGTTTAAAATTAAAAAACAATTAAAAGCTTAATTTTTATTAATTATTTAATAAGTTGTTTAAAAACAAATGAATAAGAAATTTTTTTTCTGCCTATTAAAAATTTGAAAAAATCTTAACATACAATTAAAACTATAAGAAATCAAAATCCGTTTAGAAAATTTATGAGCGGCATTTATTTTAAAACTCAGTTTATTATATAAAACTAATATTTTTCAGAACTCTAACGTGATAATTTTCAAATATCTTTTATTGATTTAGAGAAGTGATTAGTTATATTGTGGCTATGTCAAAAAAATGTCTTATGGGTAGAAACTTATTAAAAAAATTTAATTTCAATTATGTTGGAATTTCAAGTATATA